GATGTGACAGTCCTGCTTTCTGAATTTGACAGTTGGCAGCCCAGAGAGCCTGCTACCAAACCCATTATTTGTCAAAGTGCTTGTGTTATGATTTGTGCTGAGGAAAAGGAAGTAGAAGTAGAGATGACAGAGACAATAGCACAGTGCTTTAAAAAGAAAAGAAATTACGTCTGGACAAGTAGGCTTGTACAAAAGCTTCATCCATTTCAGTGTCCTGTCTCTCCTTCATTAGAAGGGTAGATTTGGCTGCAGTAGCCAACCTGGTTTTGTAGCCAACCAACTCTCTTGACCCAGGCAGAGGACAACATTTGTTCTCTGTGTGGAAGGTTTTATTTGCTGCCCAGGCTGCTCCCATGGACTTGCTGATCTCAAATTGTAAGGCCACTGTTGGTTGACTGCAATAGTGCTGAGCTGGTTGTGGCTCAGTTATATTTTTGTTCTAACAAAAGCTTGTGGTCAGACCTTTCCTGCAACAGAGGTCGCCAGAGGTTTCTCCTGAAGTGTCCTGTTTCTCCTTGGTGCTGGAGATACTTAAATATATAAGGAATATGGATTATGGAATCTCTGTATGTATCATCAAATTAATGCATCTCAGAATCCGGTGTTGTATAGCTAGAATGGGGGTTAGCCTGAGCAAGTAAGGCAGAAGATAAAAGGAAAAATTCCAGGCTCATCTGTCCCAAAAAGCATAAAATTTCTTCTTTTTTCTAAGAGCCCTTGAATTTGAGGAGCTCGTAATGTATCTGAACACTGCAACTCATCATGTCACACTTGATTTTTCTTAACACCTCTTTCAAGGCCATACACGGCATTTAGCAGAGTTACTAATCTACTGCCTTTCAGGGGCAGAGCACAAGTTGTACAAAAGCTGTTACCTGACAGACTGTGAGGATGTGAACACGTGGCATTCAGGTGTTTGTGTGCTGGCACTCTTGGCTTTCACCAGAGAGGAGCACAGGAGTTTTGCATCCGGATGAATGTAGGTGGCTGTACATCAAGTCCACGTGCAGCAGGATGAGCCTCAGGTGCGTGGCACAGTACATCTCTCTTGAGACATTGCTCCTGTGCTCAGATCCTGGGATAACAAGGTATTTACGAGGGAGCCCAGGAGGGCCTGCAGTCCGTGCCTGGGAAAGCTGGGGTGATTACGACTTGGAAAGACCTAACAACCTTCTGGGCTAGGGGGAGAGCATGTCTCTGCAGCACTTTTAAGTGATAAACAGGATGCTTTGAGGCACAGGTGCAGTAAGTGAGGGCTGATAGCCCTTGCTCCAAAAATCAGGTAATAAAAATCACTCTGAGCTGCTAAGTGGAGAGTTTATGTTTTTCATACTGACTCCTTGTCAGAGGCAGGGAAGGGCAGCAGACCCTTTTGTGCAGTGTCTGGGGACAAGAATTCCTATTGGTGAAATGAGGGCACACGAAGAGCCTGGTGCTGCCATTTCCCCATCCTTTGTAGCTAGCCATCATATGAGACTTAGCCTGCCCCAAATCCCAAAACATAGACAGGAGAGCCATCTTCTCCCCACCCACAGAAAACATAAGCTGTGTCTTCCTCTATAGTTTGTTCTGAGGTTTATTTCCTTTCTTTACTTGATTCTTTGTTTCCACTGCCATGGTTTTTCATCAGTTTTGATCACAGTCAAGCCATGCTAAAATAATTAATGTACCAGTTGACTGGAATGCATAATCAGTTCATTCCATGCAACTCATGCAGCGCTTTGAGAGAGACACAATTGCTGCAGGGGGAGAAAGGTCCCACTGGTGGCATTTCATCGGCCTGCAGCTCTTGGGAGGTTTTCTTAAAGTCCCTGGCTGACATAGCAAGGGGAATTCTCTGTCTCAGCTTGCATTAAAAGGCAAAATATTTCCATCTTGCAACAGCAGAGCAGCATAGCGCTTGTTGCATTCCTACAGCTCCAAAGCCAAAGAAAAAGGCCCTGTGATTTTTGTCTGATATCAGAACTTTTAAGAAAGTAATACGTTAGGGGGAAATGTGAGCTGATTGATCATCGTTTAATTTCTGGGGATTAGGAGTATGGCATGCTGTAGGCTCGATGAGATGCTGTTGTGATGGAACCCGCACTAAATTCAGCCTCTTTTTAGCTGGCAGGGCCACACAGTGTGTATGGGAGGAGGATGAGGATTTATGCTTCACAGTAAGTCTGCCTTTGGCTGTGCTGGGGGGCTGGATGAACTCTGCACCACCTCATTAGTTGCAGAGTTGTTCGAAGCTGCATCCATTTCTCCAGAAGGGGGAGAGTGGAGTAGTTGGATGCTGGAGGAGCGCACCCTGTGCAGAACTGTCCTTCCGCCCTGACTCAAGCCTGGGCACAGTGCAGAAAAATCAAGGCGCTTAGAATTACGCTGTCAAATCTACTCGCGTGGGGTTTTGCAAAGTCCGTCTCATCTGACTGTCAGTTGTGTGACTGAATCGTTGTGCATTAAGATTTCACCACTGTTTTTAATACCGTAACCGAAAAAAATCTCTCCCTCGCAGTAAAACCGCTTTTCATTTGGCAAACTCTGACTTGTTGCTTCTTTTTCTGTAAAGATCAGATGGGTAACAGGAGCTGTACAGCAAATGAATGTATGCTACTTGAGATAGTAAAATACAGGGCTACAATAGGCCTTTTCTGAGCAGCTGTAAAGCTGCTGTGTGACTACAGTGAAACCATTCAGCCTGCCCCACGCCTGCTGGGAGCACCCAGGGGGAGGGAGTTGTATGGGTGGAAGGGCTGCCCGCAGAACAGATTCAGACATGGACAGAGCCACGTCCGGCACCTCGGTTTGGCTTACCAGGTTGTTTCTGTTCATTTGGGGGATGTGAAGTTTCAGTTTCACGTGAGCTAAGAGGTATCTGCAGCTTTGCCCACGTTACCACATCACCACTAATTCAGTGTGGGTGTTGTGTTTCTTACAGCCCTCTGAGATGCTGTTATCTTTGTTGTAGAGACGAAGGAAACTGAGGCACAGGAAAATCAGGGTGAAGCGACCATGTGTATCTTTTCCAACCCTGGTGATTCTATGATTCTATGATTAGGAGCCAAACTCTCATGCCTAAAAGGCACCGTAGAAGCTCAGGTGTCATTTATAACTATTCCAGCCCTTCAGGAAGTGTCACATATCATTTGCCCCTAGGTCGTGTGAAAAGTCTGGAGGATAGCTGGGAATCTGTCCCTCAAAAAACAGTCTGTCTCTTTAACGGAGACATGAGGGCAGGAGGGTTTTACACTGTTTTCAGTCTTAAAATAGAGTCCCCAGCTACCTTGTATTTGAGCTGGGGAAAGATGGAGGGAGGCAGGAGCTCGTTGGTTCGGGGGGGGGGGGCATTCTGTAAAAGAATTCTTTTAACAGTTTTTCTTAAATTAAGAATCGTTTCTGGGTGGAATGAGTCACGGACAGGTTGTCCTCATTTCACTTTGAACTCGCAGCCTTCTCTGGATGTGTGTTACAGCTTTGGAGGGCTCTGTCCCCTCCCTGCAAATCTGTAGGCTTGGCTGCTAGGCGTGAGAGCGGGCTCCCCAAGGGAAGCAGGAGCAGCCTAAGCATGGAGGAGCACAGAGGAGCAGGATAATTTAAATGGAGCACTTGGGGATTTGTTCATGCTGTAAGCAACTTGTGGGAGTGGTGAAACAGGTGCAGGCCCTGGGCAGGGTTAGGGAAGCCCATGTTGCTCCTGGTTTGTGTTGGTCTTTGGGCTGAGTTTTGGGTTTTCTTTAAGGGAGGGGGGGAGATAAAGTGTGATGCGAAAAGCTGTACTTCTAAGAGTTTCTGACCACTTTAGTTGTATTTTCTGAAGTATGTACAGCCACAGAAGGCTGTGGATAATGTCTCCATTTCTTAATTAAAAGCAATGGAAAAAATTGCTCAGAGTGTCTGTCTGTCATAGCTGAGGGAAGAAAACCCGAAGCAGTTCGGCTCAACTGCACGCAAGGTCAAACTCTCTTCTTTGTCACGTTGTGAAAGGTTGTTGGTTTCGGTGGGGTCAGTCACAGGTGTAGCCACGGGAACGGCTCGCCGTTCAGGCTTTCAGCAGCACAAGAATGAATGCAGAGGAATAGAGTTGTTGGTGCTAAAAATGGTGCGGAGGGAATAACCGGGATGCCTGCGCTCCAGCGGGGCCGTGCAAATGCAGGAGCGTGCCGTCCAAGCTCTGCGTCGGCTGGCAGCGCCGGCTGCTCGCAGCCGAGGGGTTTTCCTGCTGACACAGCCTGGGCTGCCGGCTCTCGGCTGCTGGCTGAGGCACCGCAGGTAGGGGTGAGGAGAGGAGTGGGGGTGCGGGAGGGGACGAGGAAGCGCTCGGCGTAGCGCAGCAGCACGTAGGTGGCGGTCAGACCCATTCAGACCTTTTTTGGCGATGGTGGAGAACGTCAGAATTGATTGTGTTAGAGACCTGCCAGTTTCTCTTACTCAGTGCTTTGTCGCTCCTCCTCCTCCCTTCCTTCCTCTCCTCTGCTAGGGCTGGGTTCTGTGGTGTAGGCACTGTGCAGGTTCCCTGGCACGTCGCTGTGTCCCCTGACTGTTCCAAAAACGTCTCCGATTCGGGAGCTATGCATGTTACTGCTAGTAATAACATCAGTGGTAGCACTGCAATGATAATAAAGCCAATCGTTGCTCTCCCCTCTAACAGTTCGATGCTTACATAATGGTTATCTTTTTTTTTCTTCTTGATTTGCATCTCTGAGCTTTCATCCCTTTTCTCCTTCATTATTTTGCGGAGCCCGGTTGTACACAAGATCCTTCTTTAAACACTTTGTAGCATACTGCCATAGAGATTTTAAAAATGGCATGTTTTTCACTGGTCTAAAATAGTTGCTGGTTTGTTTTGTTGTAAGAGCAGCCCACAGAAGAGTGCTTCTGCTGTGGGGAGTTAGCACGCTCACTGAAGGTAATGAAATATACATTGGAGAAAGGTCAGGGATTTCCCCCGAGCCACCCACCAGTCGCTTGAAATGACATGTTCATTCTGAGTGTTTCTTGGTTTGTTTTTGTTTAAGATCCTGGAGCCCAGGAAAGAGTTTTAATGCGAAGCATCAGAAAAAAACCGCTGCAGCATCTCATGTGAGAGAGGGGAGAGAAGAAAGGAGACTTGCGCAGTAACATCTCGAAACACTCAGATGGTTTGAGGTGAGTGACTGGAGGGTCATCTCGTAAGTTACGGTTAGTTTGTGATTAAATTAATCCTTTTTACCTCCGAGTGTCATATTTGTGCCCGTGGCGATAAAGATAGCGGAGAGAGGGAAAGAAGAACAGCAGCAAAAATATATGTAATGCAGTTATCTTTTGGAAAATGGGCCCCGTGAGGTCCCATCCTGCACACAGGCGATCATTCTAACATTTGTACGGGTTGAACCTTGTTTAAATCAATGTGGCTGTTCTCCCTGAAAGTTAAGCGTGCGCCTAAGTATTTCCACGTTTGGAATCTGTGTGACATGGGAACTCTGCAGAGGAAAGCTATTGAAGAAAATGCAATGCACTGCCAGAAGAACGCATATACAGTTATGTTACTGTTGCTGATAACGTCACGAGTAATTGGAGCTTACAGCATTCTTAAGTGATACTTTTGTATTAAACACATAGTTCTCATTTTTATGTTCAAGCACCTCGTTGGTGCTTACCAAACTTCTTGACGGAGCCTGTTAGTACTCCACCAGCTGTAATAAACACGTCGCCCTTAATTGCTTCATCAGTGTGTCTTTGAACAAGAAGAGTTAAAAGTATAAAGAAAATAACGTACCTTTCATAACCAGAGTTGCAATTTGCACTTAGATGTTCGACTAGCAGCAGAACTAGGAGTTCCCTGAATGAAGCTGAATTGTGTTGTCTTGAGTTATTAAATATTTTTAATAAAGACAATTAATTATGAACTCCAATGAAGAGCCCACCTTTTCCCTGTAGTCTTTCTCTTTTTGTTTTCATTGCTCTCATTAGAAAAGAATGACCTCTGAGTCTTCTTGTTTTGTCTAGTTCAGAGGAAATGTTACAGTTGTAAAACCAGCCAGTGAAATGCTGCCTAAATGAAAACTGAGAAAGCAGGCTTTTTTTTTGAAGGAATAAATAAAAGTTATTTATTCCTTTCTGACCTACAAGTGTGCCGAAGAAGGCAAAATTACTGTAAGAAACCTGCAGAATGAGAAGAGCCAACATAAGCTGGTAGAAGCAGGGCATATAACCTCACAACTGTACAGAATATCAAAACCCTTTGCCTGGTGGCATTTGCAGACATTTGTTGCTTACCAGGTTTCAGAAGAAAGGAGAGCATAGCTGGCCCCTGGTGATTGCTCTGTATTTGCTCTGTAGGAATAGAGCTATTAAGTTTCTTTTGAAATAACAGACTCGCTGCAGGGAGCTAAATATTTCCTTTCTGGTTGGTGGACTGGAGCCATTTCTTGGGAAATTGCACCAGTCCTTGTGGGCATTTGTACAGATTTATCCAAAAAAGTTAGAAACTTGCAAATCAGTGTGGACGACTTCTTTTTACATACACTTCTTGCATTAGGGACTGTGAGCACAAAAGGGGATACGAGACTCTGCCAGTAGGAGTGTGAGGCAATTTTTGTAGTTGTGAAGTGAGGCATTAATGCAAATACATTTGAGACAGCTGCCATATGCCATGTAGGAGCTCTGGATCTTACAACTCCCCCTTCCTTTCGCCATCTCTCCCCCCATCCCTGCAGCTCAGGTGTTACAAGACTTTGCTCTCTGGGGCTCACCCTACTACAGGCATAGGACAACAGTTGTGGCCAGACCAGGCTGGTGAGAAAGGGAAGGAACCACAGTGAGCCCTTTGTGACATCTGTGAGCCCACCTTGTTTCCTCCCAGTCCCCATTTTCTGTCAGCAAGCATTCCTTCTGAGCTCTGTGGAGTGCAAGTCACAATGCTTTTATTCCTGTCTTTTTTTCATTGACATCTGACAAAGAAAACGTGCACGATTTTCCTTTCACAGCAGCCTTTTTGCTGTTGGTCTCTGAGGAAACTCATGTTGAAGTTCAGGGGAATATATCTTTGTAGCATCTGCGTGACCTTTATAATCATTCGATCAGCTCTCCGTCGCCGTCACAAAATTGTTGAGTCTTGTTTAGATTTCAGTGCATTTGGGAGTGGAGGAGCTCGCTGGCAGTATCAGAGAAAGGGAGGTTCTTTGGTGGTGAGAGATGCGTTTTAAGATATGGCAGTGTTTTTTTCCAGCACGTGAAGAAGCAGTGCCTCCATCCTCGTGTCCTGTGGTGTGAGGCAGGGAGCTGTGTGCGTGCTGAGCAGGCGGAGGGACCGGCTTCCTTTAGCCTTTTATTTTTTCACTGGGAATGAAAATGGGGGACTGAGCCTGCCCGGATTAAACACATGCCTGTTTTGTTTTGCCTTTCTCTGCTCTTCTTTCAGCTGTCAGCGTGCCATGTTCAGATGGCAGTGATCAGTCACAAATTGTCCCCCATCCATGCTCCTCAGCTCTTCTAAACCATTACTTTAGTGGAGCCCTTCAACAAAGATGGCACTGGTTCGATTTTTTTTTTGTTTTTTTTTCTCCTAGCTAATGGAAAAAGAGGTTGCTTGTTTGTTTGTTTGTGTTTTTCCCCTCAAGTCAGCTGCATTCGTTCCCAAAGCAACTTGTGTTAAGTGGAAATGAGGCTTTGATAATATGTGTGCTTGCTGGAGACTTGCTTAGATTTTTTCCCCCTGTATATGGATCTTTTCAATGGGGCGCCTCTATTGTGAAGCAGAAAGAAAGTGCACGGGCTGCCAGGCACATAATGGAATTGTTCATTTGTTTATGTAAGTGTGTGTAAGCCTTTGTGAAGAGGAGGTGGTGGGGACAGAGAATGGAGACCTTCACTGCGGGGAGCTGAGTGTGTCGTGGCACAGCCAGGGCCCCCTTGCAGCAGGGCACAGCCACGTCTGTGCTGCTGCCCGTGCCCATGTTGTGTTCAGTGCTGGTGAGCATCACCTGGGATTTTTGCTCCTGAGCTTCACCCGCTGAAATGGATGAAGCTGATGCAGCCATTGACTGCTCTGGCTGTAAACCACATTAGGCAAAATACACAAAAACTGTTATATTTCCAACTTCAACCATGTGTTTTGGCTTTTGGAAGAGTGATGTAAACATGAACCGTGCCAATACTGTGCTTCCTCTCTGTGAGGCTATTTGTTATAAAGAATGCATGGTTCTAGTCGTTTTAGCATGGAGTAGATAAGAGCTTGAACACAAGCCTTGGATCCAAGCCCACTAGCAGCTTTGCAAAGGGCAGGATCCAGATCTGAAGTTCAGGCAGCTCCTAGCAGAGACTGGTTTTAACTTCATAAAATGGGAGTAGCCAGAAGTTTTACATTGGGACTTTTGAACAAGATCTTGATTTTTTTCTCACCCGCCACTCTTCTCTGCATGTAAAACCATGGGGGCTGTGTTTTCCACACGTCAGCTCTGAGAGTGGAGAGGGGCCTCTGTGGTGAGCAGTGTTACAGAGCTGTGTGCTTTTTGTTGAGAAGTGTTTTCTTCTCGAGGAGTTAGACCTTCCTTTTGGAAGAAGGTCTTTGGAGGCACAGTAGAGGCTTCAGAGGTAGGATCTTTAAGATTCCCAGAAACCAAGGAGTTAGTTGATCAGTCTGCTGTGGATCAAAGCAGGCCTCAGTGGCTGTGCTCCCCAGTCCCCAGTAGTCCTCACTTGTGGTGCCGCAGCTTGGCTATGGATGTGAAAAAATAACTGCACCATAAAAAAAAACAATTCACAAGGCCTGACCTTCTCTTTTCTTTCTAGATACAGGTCCCTGTTCTTATCCTTCCCCTTCTTCATTGCCCTTGGACACATTCTTAGGACTTCTCAGTCTCTAGCTGCAGAGTTACTGGGGAGATGTTTGGTTAGATGTTATTTTACACATCTGCTACGTCAGAGAGTCAGATCCTGCACCCAGAGACTTTATGTGGATTAGCAGCCCTCCCTGTGGGACTTTGTATCTATAAACCAATGAATGGCTTATGAGAATACAAAAATGTAGTCTTGCAACCGACTGCATACATTCCTGCTACAGTCATCTCCGTGTTTGACACAGAAAAACTGCTGTGTGAAAGACAAGAAGCACTGGTGAATTGGGCAGCATTGTGGTATGGCAGTTAATGTGCTCCCTCCTAAAGGTGTCATCTTTCTGGTTAGCAGTAAGAAAATAAGATGATGATTAGAGTATCTCTAAAAGAGACTGGCAAGCAGCTGATGTTGTGTGTCTCAAACTTAGCTTTAGCACTGCAGGACTGTGGGGAGGTTCTGAATACAGGTAGTGCTGTTGATAGCTGAGGCTAAGCTGAGGTTCTGCAGCTTTGTCCAGAGACTTTGTAACTGTCTGCAGTCTATGGAGGAAACTCAAGTTAGAAATAAGTATCTTTCAATTGAATGGGGTTTCCTTCTCTGCTAATCTCACTGCTCAGACTTCTATTTCTGTTTTCTACTCTGCAAATACATAAAGCCTGGAGAAAGTGTCTGGCTCCTTAGCTGAGTTTTTTGTCATGACTCATGTAGAAACCAAACTTCATAGAACTACTTCTTATGAATGATGAACCAGGGCTGCTAATCTGTATGCTTTACATGCCTGTCAGCAGAGGAGCTGAGCTGTGGCTTAATTGTAGCTGGTGGGACCGTGCCTTGTGCTGACAGCCCATGGGTGGAGGGTGGGGAAGAGCACTGACCATAAACTTGTGTGCTTGTTGTCTTCTGTGTGGGTAATACACAGTGGAGCGGCTGCTCACCGTCGTGGGAGATGAATTGTACTGGTTGTAGCAGCACTGCTGTGTGTCGTCTGATTCGGACAGAGGCTCTTGCCTCTTGCTAGCCTCTTGTTAAACACCATTCGTAGAGGGTTGGAGACAGCCAGGTAAGACAGCAGTTAACACCGAAGAGGTGGAACAGAAAGACTTGTGAGACTGCTAAAACCATTTTCTCCTATGCCACAGGGCTTGGCAGCTGGAGCCCATGTGGGAGCCCACTGCTGCTGACCAGGAGCTGCTCATGCTCTGGAGCGGGGCAGCTGTGGACATGAGAAGACGTGCCACCCGCAGGCTGGGAGTCCTTCAGCAGCCAGCCGCCCTCTCCTCTGTTGCCTCTGCTGCGTGTCCGCAGTGTGTTTGCAGCAACAGGCAGGGTGC